CTCTACACCCGGGACGAGCATTTTGCCATTGCAGCGGACAGCGAGGCCGAGCAAGACAGCTGGTATCAGGCCCTCCTGCAGCTGCACAACCGCGCCAAGGGCCACCATGATGGGGCCGCAGCTCCTGGGGCGGGAGGAGGCGGGGGCAGCTGCAGCGGCAGCTCTGGTCTCGGTGAGGCTGGGGAGGACCTGAGCTACGGGGATGTGCCCCCAGGACCCGCCTTCAAGGAGGTCTGGCAGGTGATCCTGAAACCCAAGGGCCTGGGTCAGACAAAGAACCTGATTGGCATCTACCGCCTGTGTCTGACCAGCAAGACCATTAGCTTCGTGAAGCTGAACTCGGAGGCAGCGGCCGTGGTGCTGCAGCTGATGAACATCAGGCGCTGCGGCCACTCCGAGAACTTCTTCTTCATCGAGGTGGGCCGTTCTGCGGTGACTGGACCCGGGGAGTTCTGGATGCAGGTGGATGACTCCGTGGTGGCCCAGAACATGCACGAGACCATCCTGGAGGCCATGAGGGCCATGAGCGATGAGTTCCGACCTCGGAGCAAGAGCCAGTCCTCATCCAACTGCTCCAACCCCATCAGCGTCCCTCTGCGCAGGCACCATCTCAACAACCCGCCGCCCAGCCAGGTGGGGCTGACCCGCAGATCGCGCACCGAGAGCATCACCGCCACCTCCCCGGCAAGCATGGTGGGCGGGAAGCCGGGTTCCTTCCGTGTCCGTGCCTCCAGCGATGGCGAAGGCACCATGTCCCGCCCGGCTTCGGTGGACGGCAGCCCGGTGAGTCCCAGCACCAACAGGACCCACGCCCACCGGCATCGCGGTAGCTCCCGGCTGCACCCGCCGCTCACCCTCAGCCGCTCCATCCCCATGCCTTCTTCTCGCTGCTCACCTTCTGCCACCAGCCCGGTCAGCTTGTCCTCCAGCAGCACCAGTGGCCACGGCTCCACCTCAGACTGCCTCTTCCCACGGCGGTCTAGCGCATCCGTGTCTGGATCGCCCAGCGATGGCGGCTTCATTTCCTCAGATGAGTATGGCTCCAGCCCCTGCGATTTCCGAAGCTCCTTCCGCAGTGTCACTCCAGATTCCTTGGGCCACACCCCACCGGCCCGAGGTGAGGAAGAGCTGAGCAACTATATCTGCATGGCCGGCAAAGGCGCCTCCACGCTGACCGCCCCCAACGGTCACTACATTTTGCCTCGGGGTAGCAATGGTCACCGCTTCATCTCGGGAGCAGGCTTAGGCACCAGTCCTGCACTGGTTGGGGACGAAGCCGCTAGTGCAGCAGATTTGGATAATCGGTTCCGAAAGAGAACTCACTCGGCAGGCACATCCCCCACCATTTCCCACCAGAAGACCCCATCGCAGTCCTCGGTGGCTTCCATTGAGGAGTACACGGAGATGATGCCTGCCTACCCACCAGGAGGTGGCAGTGGAGGCCGGCTGCCGGGCTACCGACACTCCGCCTTCGTGCCCACCCACTCCTACCCCGAGGAGGGCCTGGAAATGCACCCCATGGAGCGCCGCGGGGGCCACCACCGCACAGATGCCTCCAGCCTCCACACCGATGATGGCTACATGCCCATGAGCCCAGGGGTAGCCCCAGTGCCTAGCAACAGAAAGGGCAGCGGAGACTATATGCCCATGAGCCCCAAGAGTGTGTCTGCCCCACAGCAGATCATCAACCCCATCAGACGCCATCCCCAGAGGGTAGACCCCAACGGCTACATGATGATGTCCTCTAGTGGCAGCTGCTCCCCTGACATCGGAGGAGGGCCCAGCAGTGGTGGCAGCAGCAGTGCTGCCCCTTCTGGGAGCAGCTACGGAAAGCTGTGGACCAATGGGGTAGGAGGCCACCATTCTCACGCCCTGACCCACCCCAAGCCCCCTGTGGACAGCAGCGGTGGCAAGCTTTTACCTTGCACAGGTGACTACATAAACATGTCGCCAGTGGGGGACTCCAACACCAGCAGCCCCTCTGACTGCTACTATGGGCCTGAGGACCCCCAGCACAAGCCAGTCCTCTCCTTCTACTCGTTGCCAAGGTCCTTTAAGCACACCCAGCGCCCTGGGGAGCTGGAGGAGGCTGCCCGGCATCAGCACCTCCGCCTGTCCTCGAGCTCTGGTCGCCTTCTCTATGCTGCAACCGCAGAAGATTCTTCCTCCTCCACCAGCAGTGACAGCCTGGGGGGGGGCTACTGTGGGGCCAGGCCGGAGTCTGGCCTTCCGCATCTCCACCATCAGGTCCTGCAGCCGCATCTGCCTCGAAAGGTGGACACAGCTGCCCAGACTAATAGCCGCCTGGCTCGACCCACGAGGCTGTCCCTGGGGGATCCCAAGGCCAGCACCTTACCTCGGGCACGAGAGCAGCAGCAGCAGCAGCAGCCGCCACCGCCTGTGCTGCACCCTCCAGAGCCCAAGAGCCCAGGGGAATATGTGAATATTGAATTTGGGAGTGATCAGCCTGGCTACTTATCTGGTCCTGTGGCTTCCCACAGCTCGCCTTCTGTCAGGTGTCCATCCCAGCTCCAGCCAGCTCCCAGAGAGGAAGAGACTGGCACTGAGGAGTACATGAACATGGACCTGGGACCAGGCCGGAGGGCAGCCTGGCAGGAGAATGCTGGGGTTGAGATGGGCAGAGTGGGTCCTGCACCTCCTGGGGTGGCTAGCATTTGCAGACCTACCCGGGCAGTGCCTACCAGCCGGGGCGACTACATGACCATGCAGATGGGCTGTCCTCGTCAGAGCTACGTGGACACCTCACCGATCGCCCCCATCAGCTATGCTGACATGCGGACAGGCATTGCTGCAGAGGAGGCGAGCTTGCCAAGGGCCACAGCAGCTGCCCCTTCCTCATCCTCAGCAGTCTCTGCTTCCCCCACTGCACCTTCAGGAGCAGGTGAGCT